GAAGCAGAAAATCCATGTTAGTCATAGAAATCCGTAAACGGACACGCGGAATAATGTACAGAAAAAAAGGAGAATCCTCGATTCGCATCGAGTTCACAGAATGTGACCATTGCAGCAACCTACATTGATCTATGTATGACCAATCGCGGTGTTGATCAAATGAGGAGCGAATGTACTTGATGTAATAGATTGATCAAATGGCTGTTGTCTTATATATTCTTATATGTTCTTACCAGAAACAAAAGTCCGTATTCAGAACATATTTATGACAATGTCAGCGTGCATTTAGCATGTAATTCACGTTACTACAGAATTTTAAAAATAAAAACGCGCTGATAAAAGTAGCACGTTCTAGAATGCGGAATAGAAGCAAAGGATAAAATCTCTGTATCTCTGTTTATCTCTGTATCAATAACTCACAATCAGTGACTACCAACTAAATAAAACATTAATATAACATTAATATAAATTATAATTTTACATTCAACAATGTAAATATAACACATATGATGACATAATAGTTACATTATTGAGTTTAAAATTATAACATGTAATGTTATGTTATAATTTTAGTTGGTGTAGTGGAACTTAGGCTTATATTAATCTCATACTTTTGTTTTTTTGATGATATAAAAAAATATATATGATAATATCATTAAAAACATGGAAAGACTTGTTGGGTTGAGATCAAATTAAATTCTTTTTAAATTTTTTATTTGATTCAAGATTCAATCAAATACATGATCTCTTAATGTTATTGCAATTCATTGAAATTTAATACACAATTGAGCGAATGCGCAACAAAAACTAAATACTACAGTACAATTTAAGTGACTGCTAAGACATTTGCTGTCTTAAAAGAAATTTAAATTTGTATTATAGTATTAGTTCTTACATTTATTAAAAACAAATACAACACGAAAATAATCTGGTAGTCTAAACAGTAGAGTCGAAGAGACAATACAATATAGAAACCTCAGGAATCGAACCCAAGACGCTTCAAGACATAAATATAAATCAGCTGTTTTCATATAAAGTTAACACTTCGTTCTACCGTTCCTTGATAAAATCTATCTTTTATATTTGTATTTGCACACCGAACTGAAAATTTGATTTATTTGTATTAATTTTATTTACAAATTTTGTGAATCTTCGGCAGAATAAGAATAAGTGTTCTTTCCTAAAAAAAATCCTAACAATTTAAATGTTTAAAATATGATATATTGATGTGATGTAAACTTAAATATATATGTGTATATATATATATATATATATATCTCAGTCTAAAAAAATTAAGTCAGGCATTGTTTCGTTGACGGATTGTCAGTTTAAAAGACTGCGGATTCCTTAAGGAATTTTATGTTACAAAAAATATTATGAAACCGGTTTGCTCCTTCTAACAAAGACAATGATTTAAACTACAGTGTCGAGTTCACGAGATAAGCCCGCACACTTTTCAACATGCTGCACGCAACACGAATATAAATCCTCAAAAAGAGGGGAATATTCCAACAGAAATTACGTATGCTAATTCAGCTAATTGTAAGGAATTATATACGGAAGACATTAAAAGGTTGCCGACACTTTTTATTGTTAACATCAAAGTTCAAATTAAACTGCTGATATCTGCTACTTTATTATATTTGCTTTATTTTAGCAAAATAATTATAAACATTTTTTTAGATGGAATCTATGTAATAAAATGACTTAAATAATGTTGCAATTCACATTGTGATTATATGTATTATATTTAGAACCTCATTTATCAATTGTATTTCAAAATTTTAATTGTGGAAGTTAAAATGTACCATCTTTTTGTCTTCTGAATTCGCGGAAAGATTTTTAATTACTCTGCATAAAGGAGAAAGAACTCTGTGTAACCAGACTGAAATAGCTCAAATAGTAGTGATCGAAATAACAAATAACATTCAATTTTTTAATTATATCTTCTCCATTTTTGTTTTTTTCTTTTTTACTTTTTATATAAAAATTGTTATAATTCATATTACGTTTATCATATCATATGTGTACAAGCATTTTGGAAGTATCTATACAAAATGAATAGATCTTACGATAATCAAGCACTTTCTCCTATAATAAAATTCATCTTTGATGGCATCTTTGAAATAAATTGCTATCATTTATTAGCACATCAATTTGTCGCGCCGACTCTCAGATTCTATAGATGTCAATAAATTCCGACATATTTCCGGCATCTAGTTACTTAGGATGAATTAATACAAGCACCAAAAATATTTACATAATTTGGGATTGACTTAATAAGTCTGCTTGTTTCACTTGCACTTTCTTCCCACTCGCTTTGGAATATTATTCTTTATTTAACATACGAATTGAAAGTACTGATAAATGATCAAAAAATATATTGGAGAATATTAAATGACATTGTTTAACTTACATGTGAATTTCTGGAATAAGCATGCAAACAAATTTCTTCATTTACCTTACCTACGCTTCTATTCTCGAGTAGTTTTCATAGATATTGAAGTATCTCACAAAAAAGAAGAAAACGAAAATTATATCAATCCTCAAAATTATAACATTATATTAATGAATTATTTAATAGCACACTTTTACAAATAGAATTAAAGTCAAATTAAAATATTCATATTATTGAAAAATAACATTAATACTAGAAGTTCTTAAATTCTTCGAATAAGATTAAAAATATCTAAATCAAATTAACAATTTTGCAAAAATTTTTGAGTTCAACAAATCGAAATTAACTACATAATATAAAATAATTTAATCTAATATAATAGCTTATCTGTATGTTCCAGATTATGAATCTAATCCCATTCTAATCTAAAGTAATGTATACTTCGCAAGTTTACGTCTTCAGCCACTCCAAAAAGGTTACCTTTAAGTTCTACATATTTGTAACAGTAAAGCAAGCAGGAAACGAGTGCACTGTAAACGACATATAAATATTTATATCCACTGACGTTTTGAGGAACTGCCTACGTCAACGACATGTGAAACGCATAGGTATCATTGAAATGCAACAAGCATGCTTGAAGAGCATTTTTTGTGTCAAATCTCAATGTCACGTCTTTCTCATATCATATACCTGCCATATAGGATATTCCATATTTAACAAAGTTTACGTTTGACCTTTTAAAGATTCTTTCGTTAATGAAAATTTGTCTTTCTTCTAACAAAAGCTTTGAAGACGTTTCAAGATCTTGAAATTATTAATTGAAGAGGGAACTTAATTCAAAATAAACTTCAGAAATATAAACAAACGATAAATCCTTATCTTTTTCAATTTTCAAGTAGACGCAAATATATTGCCTATTCTGTTTTGTCAAGGTATTCAATCTCTTTTTTTTAAACTTTTCCAAAAATAATTTCATATAATTCAAAAAATACGGGAAATAATAGAACATTTTTTTAAATAGAAAGATTTGATGCTTTAATTATTTTTAAGCTCATTTTCACTCTTAAATCAGGAATCTATACACTGATATAATCTATAAATATGCTAGAAGGTGAACCACAACACAAATCATTCTGCAATCAGAAACATTATGTAACATAGTCAAAGTTAGTTTTCTAAACGGTTTGTTTTTCAAAAAAAAACATACGTATAACAAGACATGTCATGTAATAAGAATTTAAAATTTTATTAGTATAAATATGACTCTTCATTATATTAATTAATTTAGTATAAACATGACTCTTCATCACTAAAATTAAATTTAAACTCAATTCTTTTTATATAAATCTTTTTACAATTTATTAAAAACTTACGAGATATTTTTATTAAACTGTATTTGGATTTAAATAAACATCTACGCATAATATTACATACATATAATTACACACACACACACACACACACACTGTATACATAAAATTATATATTAATACATATTTATATAATATTATAAATGTAATTAGTTTTTTTACAATACAAATACTTATTTGAAACTAAAAAATTTATAAAATCTGAATTAAAACACGTTTTTTTAAATTTATCTGTGCATTATTATTTAAATTTTAATCTATTCTTTATCGTGTTTCTCGAGCAAGAATGAAAGTAACCCCCTTGAGTATTGCAATGTCGATTTATTGCTTCATTAACAATGGCAAAGTATTATACATTAGACTTCGATAGAGAAGTTATTTTTAATAAATAAACTTTATAAAAGTCAATAGCGTTACAATGACATGAAAGACATTGAAAATGTTCTTTGAATCCAATTAAATGCCACGATCCGTAATATTTAATTGATTCTTATTAATCATCTTGACATTTGTTAAGAATTCGCGCCACCACCGTTAACCATATATGACAAACTTACTTGAATTAATTGAGATTAATTCGTCTGGTAGTTTAGTAAGCGTGGGAGCCATAAACTGAAGAAACCTAAGTGCTCTTGCGTAAGCGCGCACCTGAACTACATTTTGAGCAGGTTATTCTTAATCGGGGTCTGTACGTCATTTGTCCAAGAGAGACTGATGGGTACGTAATAATGGAAACAATTTACTACAAATGGTATCAAATATCAATACTAACTTAATTCTTCACGTGACAGAAATAAAGTCAAGATTAAAAAATTGTTCTAAGTAAAGATCAAATTAATAATCAAGGATAGTTAAATATAGGAATAATAATGAAGTGATAAAATAACAAAAGGCTTTAATAAACAAGACTTTATAACTAATGTGTTTTCTAAAGTAAAACGATTCAAAATGCTTGCAAAAATCGAAATAAAAATATAACGATAAAATTGACAATTAAGTAACATGTCAAATTAATTATTAATGCTTTGACAAAATTACGTTCTGCACAAAAAAGAAAGAAGAGAAAGAAGAGATGAAAAAAAGTACAGGAGTGAATCTCGAGAAATTGAAATGAGAAGAATAGGGAAAAGAGAAGATAGAGCGAAGATGAGACCAGTTGGGGGATCAGTGATCCCCACCCTGTATAAAAGTCTTTTTCTGCCAGCGACGTGTTCAGTTCGAACGACGCGCTGCGTGCGATTATCTCTGACGATCATCCTCGTCATTATAGAGAGGCTGTGCGAACAATGCCCTGCTGAAAAAGGATTCTGGTCAAGATGCTGCGGCATGTAACTGCAGCCCTCTTCATCTTGGTACGTCGTCTTTAATATATTTTTAGATATACAACTTTAAAAATTAGAAACTTATTTAATTATATATATTTACTTTTTTTAAACTTATTAAATTGATAAAGAAACTGAGTAAATAAAAAATATCTTTTTCTTCTTAAAATAACAACTAATTATTTCATAAAATTAAGATATTTAATGATTTTGTTAAAATAATTAAATAATAATAGTAAAAATATTATATGTTTTTAATTAATTATTTTTAATATTTAAAAAATAAATTTAAAAAAAAAATATTTTTGCAAGAGAAAATGATTTACTGCAACTTTTATAAGATCAATAAAAATAATATCTGATAAATATTATTATTATAATTAAAGTTTGATATTGATATTTATTATTTAAAATAAAATTTAATGCTTATTTTTTATTATTTATTATTTCTACATAATTTGTGACTTTTAATATATAATTTTTATATAATAAACATATGACATTTTCAGTCAATAATTTAAATTTCCACTATTTAAAATCAATTAGAAATCCGATCCAAGTATTAGTGAGATATATTAACATAATATATTCTCACATATTAATTATCTTGTAGATATTTCACACACATTTCGCCTGTTACGTATACCGCGCATATATTTAATATAACTATATATAATAAATTGCGTATCTCTGTTGATACGAAATACATTTTTGACTATTTACATATTTTTCTTATTTATTTTTTAATTATTAAGATTTTAATATGTTTGCCAGAGTATGTTGGCACGAAAAATAAGTTGGCATTGCGTTCCGTTTGTACTTATGACAAAAGAAACAATAAAAAAATTATTGCAAGGTACCTTTTTTTAAGCATAAATATTTTTTTCAAATATTACAATAAAAAATGAAGAAATTTGATTTAAAACAAGAATTTAAATAAATTTTTGAGTTTTTGAAAATTTCATATAAAAATTTTTCAGTTTTAACTAGTCACAATCTAAGTGACATATTATTAAAGAAAAAGTTTCTTTTACTATATTATTTGAGTAACAATAGTATTTTTTTATAATAAAATAATTAAAAACAAGTGTATGTACAAAGGAGTATATATTAGCTCAATACCTTATTTATAGCGGCAAGTTTAATTTATATTGTGCTCGTGAGAAATGTGTAAACATTCAATTACAATTTAACTTTGATAAAATCATTTTATGTTTAATATTTTATATTGAAGCAAGCTACATCTACAATACATATTTATTTTTCTGCAACAACAGTTTGCTATCGATTATATAAAATAATTTTAAAAGATATTTTTAAAAGATAATTAAAACAAATTATCAGAAAATATTATATCTCTCTTTACGGTTTTTTTATTACATTTTCATTAATTTAATATAAAATTTGCTTATATAAGAAACTTATATATTAAATTTTTTTTTTATAATACTGAAATTGTGAAAACTGTGTCACCGAGTCCCGACTACATCCCATACTATTAAAAAAATGTAATAGGAGAATAAAAAATATATTAATTTAAATATGAAAAAACATACTTAACATAAATATAAATAGGTGCATGTAAACGCAGTTCGTCACTGTCATTTATTATTATTATTAATACTATTAACTACAAATCAATATTATTACGTAGTATATTATTTGTGTAATAATAGTACGTAGTAGAAAGTGACACTGATTACTTATATATATATATATATTACTATATATATATATAT